TTTTCGGTTGCCCTAATTTATAAGCCATTATGCTTTTGATTGGCATCTGCAAATGGCCCCATGTATGGCTTCAATAACAAAAAAGCTTAATACACTGAAGGCCACGATGTAAATTTGCACTGTAAAGAATAGTGTCCTCACCATAACTCTCGTGAAAAAACTCCCCAAAACACCAATACCTTTCAACATAAAGCTGTTTCTCTACTCAATGTCAAATTAAGCTATATAAATCTGAATATTTTGTATTAGGCTGCTCAGTGTTTGCCTCAGTAATAAATAGTTGTTTGGATACTTACGAATCAACATGATTCAAGTAGAACATGTGGATCTTTCTGAAAAAGTCAGTTTCAAACTGACAAGGAAATAATAAAAGCAAAAGTGCTGTATCTAATGAGGAGACTGTAAAATGGCAAACTATTCAAGAAGTGGAACAGTATCTCAATGACATACTCACCCAGTTCCAGTTAAGGTATACCTATTCTCCCATGGAAAACACTAACATAGCCCTCAAGGGTTTGCAAAGCAAAACCAAATGCTACATGATTAAGGAGAAGATTTATTTAGTTATCATTTTATGTTAGCTAGGGGAAAGCATATACTTCATTACTGACATAGTTCTTAAGAGTTTGCAACACCTAACTCTACATGTCTGGGGAGAAGTTATATACAATTGCATCATTTTGTGTTAACCAGGAGAAAATGAGTGCAGAATATAATCAAAAGAGAAAACTCTTCTTCCCAATAGATGTACAATATAGATCATAAATGTCTAGTAAGGAGTCCCAATATTGAGATTAATAAGCTGCCACATTTCAAGGAAGACTAAGAAAACTGCAAAATTAAAGTGCAGTGCAACGTGAAAAGTCTGTGGCCAACTGGGAACAGAATGTCAATGCATTAAGGTAAAGTCATAAAACAAGGCTTCAGGTGAAAGGCTTCAGTTGTTTCTCTGCTTCTGCTAATAAAAATGCATAGATGTATAGCTGCGGAAGGAGACTAATTATAGATAAATTCTAAAAGATATGGATATATTAGAAACACCTGTCATAAATTCAATGTAATATACAAGAAATCAAGAAGGTTTAAAGTTGTTTAAAGGTTAGCATTTTCCTTAAAGTGTCTTAAAATTTCATAAAGTCATGTTATCTTTTTTATTTATAGAAGACAGACAGTAAAGCAATCTTGGAATAACTTTCCAACTATCTTAGAAGACTGCACTGCATGGAAAGAAATTTTCCCCACATTACTTTATGGGAAAGTTTCATACTGCCTTAAAACTTACAGCAGACATATCATCTTTTCATGCCCACCAGGTATCCCATTCCATCTAAAAATAATGCCACTAGCAAAACAGTTTTGGTTACTAGGTATTTCATAACTAAAAATAGTAAAAAGAAGGCTTCATAGCTTGTCACTCAACTGATATGAAAAATTAGTAGGTACAAAAAGAAGAATGGAATTGAAAATTAAGTTAGGTCACACATCAAAAGGCAATGTTTCTGACAACTTAATGAATGCGTATTGCTTCTGTGCTAATTGGCTTCCTCATTCACTTCAACAGAGAACAGATTTTGCATACATGACCACTTACACAAAGATTTTTTTTTCCTTTGCACGTAGGGAAGCTTCATAAGTTAACTATAGATTCGCTACCTCCAAAGAAGCAGTGGATTTGGGCAAAATAGCATCATTCACTAATTAAGTAAATGAATATTTTCCTTGACTGCCAACATCTCTAGACTGTTATCATGTATGAAGATGAACTACATGGACATCTAACGTGTGTGTTGGGAGGATACAGAATGGGTTCACATGGTAAAATGGGGCTAAGCTGATTAATCAGAAGGTCAGAACACATGATTCCAGGGTGTTTTTTTCCTTCCCAAATTCTGCTACTGGATTCTTATTGCAACAATAATGTCATTAATTGCTGGATGGAGTAATTATAGCTGTTGAGCTGGTTACTAATGATATACATCTCTAAAATTAAAAAATGCAAACACTCTATCATGAAAAGTAAAAATGTGGCAAATGCCTCAAAGAAAAGGTATTTTGCAGATGGGGAAATTAATTTTGAAGCTAAGTTCAGCACAACACATACATCCAGCAGTTATATGTCCACAGACAGTGGGCTAAAAGTCAAGTTTGTTCTGAAATAGTTGGATGCTTTATAGCCTTTTGCAATCTAATTTTAGAAAATGGTAACACTGAGCAACAGGCAGGTTCAGTGCGTCTAAATGGGATCAGAATTTCCATCAATGCAGTTCTCAGCAATAAGTGCCAGATACACTATACTATCCAAGATTAAGCCACAAATTGTAGCTGACTTATTCTCAAGAAAATTGGCAGCAAAGAACAAGACCTGGGCAGCTGGCCAAAGCATCTTTATACCTTCTATAGTCAAAGAAATATGCTCTGGGGAACTGAGTAGCAGAGCCTACATTCACTTACAGTCACCGTAGCTCACTATGGCTTCAGCCACAGTCAGTTGTGGCATGTCATTTCAAATTTTAAAACCCTGGCAGGGAACTGGCATGGTTTGTCATGTCATCCAAGTAAGCACAGGTAATTGACGGTTAAAGAACCCTCAAATAACCATACAACAAATTATGAATAATTTGCGGTGGTTTAACTTTCAAATAATCCTTGCTGCTGTAGGACATTCTTGGCTGGCTGACATTAAACCTGAGTAGGCTGATCACGTCCTGAAGTGTTTTCAGTGTAACCAGAGCGCCACATGGCCAGGGATTAAGAGGAATCCCTCCCCAGAGCTCACAGCCCAACCTCCAGCTAGCCCCGCCTCCCAGGGAACGGAACAAACTACCTGAATTCAAATGTGCCAATCAGCACTTGTAGCAGGAATTTCAATCCAATAGCAACTGTCATTGCTGCCTGGTCAAGACGGGTATAAAAGAGTGCTCTGCCATGCACTGAGGGACGATTGCCCTTTCATTGTGATTGCACTTCATTCTTGACAATAAAAATGCAGTTTTTTTCCTCTCTCTCCTGTCAAGTTTAATAGCACACCAGGGCCAGACCCATTGAGTCCTTCACTGCCAAGGTTTGGATGACAGAACAAAGCATGATAACTTCTTACCTGGGCTTTAATATTCAAAATGGCTGCCAGAACACATCACAACTCTTGTGGCTTAAATAAGCCATGAACGTCTGTGGTGACTGTGTGAACCCAATCACTATCTGTGGTTGACTCTGGCTTTTGATAGCTTTGCTTTTCTTCTGGCCCACATATTCACCCTCTCCCAAGTTCTTAGCTGACCATATAGGCCAATTGTCTATAGGAAACCAGCAAAATGTTCAAACAGAAGCTATTTCTGGTTTGGGGTTCTTTTTTTTTTTTTTTTTTTTAAGTAAGCTTGTACCTTGCAGAAAGAAAACAACAATAACCACCCTATTCTTTCACTCCTGATGTTATTCTTAAAAACTTCATTTATAGTATTCAAATATATTAAAGTTACAAATAAAGGAAAAACTGCAAGTTCATGGGCAAGTCTTGCAAGAAACACTGCCTAGAATAAAAGTAGAGGTGCATGAGATTTAGCTTTGGTTAAAATAGGCATGCATGCTCTGCTCGAAGCTAACAATTTGGTCAACTTGTATCGACCAAAAATATTTGCAAATGGTAAGCACATGGCCTCTTTGTCCTGTTCCAGATTTCCTGTTCAATTTACACCATTTTCTCAACCTGCACAAATTTCCTCAGTAGACTGAATCAGTTCCACTTTAATCTTTGGAAGAAATTTATACAAATTTGAGGAGACTGACAGTATTCTCCAAGTAAAACCTTGTCAAAGAATCATTGCAAGAGTGCCAAATTTTCAGGTCTTAGTTCTTTGTAAGTCCTAATTAGCTGCCCTTTATTCATTAGATTGCATGTTTGCTCATGTGAATACTTGCTTAGGCTTCTGCCAGGGCAAACACATGCCATTCAGGTAAATAGCTGCCACGTCAAAAGTGTTTCACAACATAGTTTCATTCCAATCTACTAAAACAGGGCATGTATGGGGAGCTAGCAGGGAAAAAAAACCATGTATACTGCTAAGGATGCAAGCAGTGATTAAGAGCAGTATGTGGGATAGAAGGTAGACAGAATGGCAAGGATCTTGGCAGAAGATTCAGTTGAATATGGATACATATAAATCAGATACTTATGAACATTCTAAATGTACTATGAATATCAATTTTCTCTGAATTGATAAATGAAAACTAAACCTTAATAAAGCAAGAACAAAGGCAAAATGCAAAAATAATTGAAAACATTTACATATAGTACACTTTAGACATTTCTTCCCTTTCTGTCACCAGTTAGCAACCACAGTACCAGTTAACAACCAAAAAAAAAAAAAAAAAAAAAAGATCTGTTTGCCCTACAGGCATCAGACTGACAGTGTATACAAGAGGGATTTAAGTGAGTCTGCATGTTGGATGAAATATAAATTAAAATTATTGTTCTGTCAGTCTTGAATCAGGCACTGTTTCTCAAGGTCTCCCAAAACGCTTAATTTCAAATTAGTCTGTTTATTACTTCAGGAAGGCCAAATGCATAATTTATCAGGAATACTTAGCCAATATACCCTTATAACACCCTCTTGTGTTTTCAAATGAAATATGTGACTTACATTCTATTTGTGAGGTACACAAAACTTGTCTGATGAATAAATGGATATTCAAATAAAGGAAATGTTAACAAGGATAGGCTGAATTTACCAACTTTCAGGAACTAAACAAGCACTTTGGAAATAGAATAATTGCTTATATTATTTCATGTTTAATTTGTCAAGATACAACAGAATAATTTCTTTTTATTTAAATATATTATTTTGTTTCTGTTTCTCATTTTCTTACTCGCATGTCTTTTCAGCCAAAATGAAGCACTCTAATGCTGGTTAGCAACCCAGCCTCAAGCATTGTCCCAAGGCATGCAAAAACACAGTGCATTTCAAGCAATTCCACCAAAGCTCCTCCTTTACTTGATAGCCTACCTGGTCTCGAGCGGCACATTGCTGTTAAGCACCCAGCTGTCTTGTAACTGAACGGATTCAGGAGTTGTGGCCAGATCATTTGGTGCAGGAGCTGGTGCATGGATCTGGTTCCGCCGATTCGTGAGGGAATTCCTGTTGAGGGAGTTGGCAGAGGAATGATGGTGGGACAGAGTATGATTGTGAGGTGGTGGAAGAGGTGGTCTCAGAGTTGACTGGCTGTGATGATTTGAAGGGCCTAAAAGGGGAAAAAAGAAAGAATAAGTATCTTCAAGTTGCCTAGTATTTTGGAGAATGATCATACCTAATCTGTCTAAATTAAAACTGTATTACACTTAGCATGCTTAAGGCTGTATTCCAAAGGAAACAAAAATGCTTCAGCCCTTTTGGAATATACTAAGAACAAAAGTGCTCATCACGTGTCATGGGACATTCACAAGCAGCCCTTCCTGCCAATTCTGCAGCAGGAGTGAGTCCCATTGCTTACACAACAAAGATTTAACATTTCCTATAAGGCTCCCCAACGTGTGTGGAAATGCTTGTTTCTGGATTGGGAAAGGTCACTGTAGCTCCCTCATGTATGGCTCGCTAACCTGCTCCGTTCTAGAAATGGGCATTTCCACTCATTTCCATTTGCTTCCAGAAACATTAAATATCCACTGTGCAAGTGGTGGGTTTTGCTTGGGTAACAGAATCGGTGAGGCTACCACAGAAACAGCAGGGGCATCTGATTCTTATTTTAATCCTGAGTAGTTTAGAAGCAAGTTTTCTGAGAACTGGCCCCATGCTTATCAGGCAGAACCTGAAAACAGGATATGCGGGTTGGCCAAATTATGTAGTTGAATCCATTCCCAGCGGATCAGTTGCTCCAGAAGCTATGAAGGAACTTTTTATGCATTATCGAACTACCTTGGGATCGAACTGTAATGAAGCATCCCCATCCCCACAATGTATGCACCAGACTTCAGATTGGTGCATCATATTGGTTGAAAAAACAATCCATGATACAGTAATCTTGCAGGTTTTAGTCTGTTCAGTGACTGGAAGGGAAATTGCTTGGGAGCTCCATGATGGAAGAAATACAGGATAGAAATGTACTATACAAAAACCATGTACAAATATTTTTACCAAAATGCACAGGACCATATGTACATGGTCACATGAAAAAGAATGTGTTAACTTCCATCACTCTGTCTTGTAATAAGGCATTATTGAGTAATTTGTTATAGTTCCATATATTCCTACATTTAAGTGTTAGAAATGAATGGAAGCCAATATAAGAAAACAAACTTAGTGGGCAAGTAAAATATTAGTTGCATGTTTAATCAGAACACTAATTTGTAATTGCTAGAGAACAATAATTAGAAAAACATTAGCAAAATCATAATTACAACGATGCATGTTTGAGTTGAGAAACTTGAAAATACATTTTTCATTTAATGACCCAAATAATGAAAGAAACAACAGTGACGAAAGTGTTCATGGATTACTCTATACCTCTATGAAACATGTCTACTTCTCAAGGGAATCATGAAAACCAGTTCTCCAGCTGGCATTCATGAGTATTTGTGAAGGGGGAGTTTACAGGAACAGCCTCGGCTCGCTTGTTATTGGGCTTGATCCACAATGGGTCTTTTTGTCTATGTCTGGACAACACAGCAATTTATCATAGGTCAGATGAACCTTACAATGGATCATTGGTAGTGACAGTTATATATTGGCTACATGAGACTTCTGGTGGCTCAGTTTATACGGAGAAGAAGATGGGAGAATTTATATTAAGCAAAAGGAAGACCAAGGTTTTCTACCTCACTGCCCTTTTCCCCAGTGTAACCTGAGGGACTAGAAGCCTCCTGTAACCAGCACATGACTTGCTGAGCTTTCTTTGAATGCCTGCAGACTCCTCCTCCTACATTTGGGGTAGATGAAACCTATGATTTTAAATACACGCACACATACACACATTATTTTCCCTGCCAAATATATATTAAACCTTGCTTTGACCTATCAGACCAGGACATTTACATTTTGTTTGCCGCTCTGGTTCCCCACACCACTCCCTAAAGCTAGGCCAAGACAGACTGAAGTAGAAAGGAATAACACTGGAAAGAAAACAAGTAACCAAAATGTTTACTATGCATCATTCTGTATTCTCCCCCCCTTTCTTCTGGTGCTCTCCAGAGGTTTTGGACTTCAACTCCCATCATTCCCAACCAGCATGGACCATCATTCCCAACCAGCATGGACCAGTTCTGTGAATTGTGATCCATCAAACCACTACATCCAATACTGAGCAAAACTTTCTAAATAAATAATTTGTCTGTATCCACAGAGCCACATGCACATTTGCACACGTACATTTGCCAGACAATTTTAACTAGTTTCTAAATTAGGACTGCATTTCAAAACCGGAAGCAGAATCGAGGGGAGTTTCAATACTCCAGACTACTGTTGAAGTTTCAAATGAAGATTTGCAATTTTCTCATCTTCACAGTAGAGACACCTAAGGATAACCAAGTGATAGGGACTGTAACATCATCTGTAACTTTTTTGATCTCGGAACTTCAAGGGAAAATTGTTCTTCATATAATCAGAGATAAGCAGCTTCAAGAACTGAAGCACATATCTTACAATATGTGATACTCTGTGGGTTCTTCCTATTGTCACAGCAGTTGGAAACCTAATGATGATAAATAACTTGATGGGATACCAATAATCTTGTACTCTGAAGAAGTTACAGAACAGAATATGTTAAAGTTCTCTTTGCATATAACTCTTACAGTTTCTCTCCTTCAAAATCAGCAGGTTCCACAGGATAGATTTCTTTAGAGACAAACAGGAAATAATGTATTTTATTGTTGCGGTATTTTTGATATCAACTATGTAATATCTGTTTTGGAGGTCATTTATGTAATGTGAACTCTTACGCTCAGAGTCAAAAGGAGGGGCAAACTGGAGGACCAATTTCTTCCTGCTAGGGATGGATCTGGAATTAGAAGTCCCAAAATTGGAAAAAGGAGAATGATGCTATTTGCCTCATTTCTGAATGCCTGCCAAGCTAGTCCTGATGAATGAAGATGCGCTTTTGGGTAGAGCACCCATAGCCTTTTTCCTATATCCTGCTGCCAGATACAATTTTAAAGACAAGCAGAAAGTGCTTTAAGAGTTTTCAGTTTGAACTCTTGCAAAGATTAAAACCCATACAGGGTAAATTCTAATATCAGAGTACCATAGAGATATGTTGTTGAAGCTAGAGTATGTTTAAATATTTCTGCTCCTATAGATGTATATAAAGATGGATAGAGTTTTTCTATTACTATTATTTAGAGTTCCACTGTACTCTCTGATGGCTTAGAGTATAACAAATACATTAATACAATATAGAACACTTAAACAACTGATCCTAACACAAAACACTACTATTAGTTAAATTCTGTCCATCAAAAGCCCACACAGATGAAATGATCATTGATTCAAACAATGATGCTAAAGTTTGATGAGTCTTCTTTCCACAGGGAGTAGTGGACTTAGATGCTTAGAGAGAAATTCAAGAAACTATTCAAGTGTAGTAGCTTATAATGGTATTTAGAAGAACCAGTCTCAGGTATGTTTGGTCTAAGACATTAAAACACTTTACAAGTCAAAACACACAGTAATTAAGTTTGTCCAAAGATGCAGACAAATGGATATGCAGATACCGGAAAACTGCTCTCAGTAAGTCATCCCTACAAGGTATGGGATATCAAAGTAGCAACTGAAACTTCCCAATAGTAATCCATACTACCACAACATAGAATGCATTGCAGCACTCCAGTCTCAAGATTAGAGAGGCATGATCAATACTAGCATAGCTTTTTCCCTGGATGAAATTGAGGAAAACAATCCCAGTGTTGCAAGTCTGAATGGTAAAGAAAAGTTATGAATTCCCAAATCTGATAGAGGGGAATAGAGCATCTACACAGATGAAAAGCCTTCCATCACATCCCTGTGCTAGAAGTTGTTGCTTTCTGATTACACATGTGCAGAAAGAGAGCAAGGATCTTTCCCTTCCCTACAAGATGCATAATTTGATTTCAAGCCTGAAATTGCAAATCAGGAATGGAAGATTAGCTGTGGAGAGTTATTTGAAGTGTACAGGGAGTTAAGAACCTAGGCATTCACTCTGCACCCTGACTAGCAATTCCACTGTAATGCTTGCAAATGAACACTGGGAATTTCCAGTATACTATCTTATTCCACATGCTGTCCTAGTTATGTTGGTAACATTTCATGCCTTTTCAGTTGCCTACAGATCTGTGCTAAAGCCAAACACCATCTCTAGGCTATTGTCATTCTTAATTTTCTGCACCATTTTATGCAAGAATATTGACCTACCACTTTCCTGGCATTATCAAATCACTTTGCAAGCTGAGATACTCTGGCACATGCACTATAGACTCCTGCTAAAACCGTACTACATAGGGATTTCAAAGATAGCCTAGTTAATCTCTCACCTCAAAGCTTCACTTAAAATCCTGCTGAAATCAGGAAAAACATCTGTGAGCTCAGTCAAATTGCCGAGCAATCTCTTTTCTCTATCAAAGTTCCATACCAACAGTGCCTCTGAAATGCCACATTGGATGTAGCTTACTCATACTGACAGAATGTGATTTGAGATTTAACACCCTTCATTAAATAGCAGCAACTACGATGTGAGATTTAACACCCTTCATTAAATAGCAACAACTACAATGACCAAATACATGGCTCCATTCTTAAAAGTACTTTAGAACATAGAGCAAGTTTTGGAATATGAGGCAAATGGAATGGAAGTGCTAGAGTTCAATGGAAGTTGAACTCTAGCACTGTTTCCAGCCAGCTTGTCATCTTGTACCCTGATAGCAACACATTACAACAATCTTACAAAATTTCTGAATTCATTATTGGATCTAAGAACAGGTAAAATGTGATTTTAATTCAAGTAGCTGTATGCCAACAGTATTTATGCAGCATATGGTATTATCAGTAATGACAAAGTATGATTTTTATCTCCACTCTGGTAATTTAAGCAACTTAAATTAAGTAGAACTTCTAAAAACTCATAAAGTTTGATCCCAAAAGTGGATGCACTGAAAAGCAATAAAAATAATATCCCCCTTTTAATAACCTACAAATACTCTCTTATAAAAAAAACATTTTGGCTAAAGTTCCAGCCTGTTGACATTTTTCAGATAAAAAGATCATTAGCTGAGCACAGCT